TGGGCCCGTCGGGGTAAAGCTTTGGTACTGCAAACCGTTGCGCCACCATGCGCTGAAGTTACAAACTGAAGGTACATCGAAGAACCGCCGAGGATGCCAACAAAGGCTCACTTGTTTATCGTTCATAGGTAGCGCTTAGTGTTGCCGAAAAGCTAGGGACCACGCAATGTTTTGATCGCGAACAGGAAAAAAAAAAAATGAATATCCATTCGACCAGTGCTGCGGATTCTTCCATTTCCCGAGGTGAAAACAGGGGTGCGATCAAGCGACTTGTTCGAAAGGAACTTGAGGAGAAGGGAATATCCTAGAGAAAACCCGAGAAAGAGGTGAGCCATGCGATCACGTGTCGCTCCACCACGTGACTTCTGGGATAAAAAATAAAGGCCGAGGTAAAGAGCGGCGGCGGTTTTCGCAGAAATCGATGGCGCGCTTGTGTGCGCACTGCATCATGGGAAACCTGGATGGGCCGGCGGCCAGGCCTGAACATAGGCTATTGCACGTTCCGCTTAAAAAATACACAGAGGAGCATCGCCGCCTGGAACTTCACAAAGAGCCGCGCGTCAGCACGCTTTGCTTCTCCTGCGTGCTTATAAGCAAGCTAAGGCGTTGCCTTCCTTGACCGAACGAGGCGACGACATCGCCGCCGTCAATCGCCTTCCCAGCTGGCTCCTCGACGCACACTCTTGCCGTCTTCGATGAGCTTCAAGAGCGGCTTCTACTACTTCGTGCTGTTCGTGATATGGTGCGCCATAGGCCTGTGCTTGCTCGTACTTGTGCGCTGGGTTCTGAGCTACTCGTCGACCAAGTGAACGACGCGGTGGTCCGTCGGCGAGCGGGCTGTTCCGCGTCCATGCTGAAGTCGGACGACGACGGATCCCAAGCGGAAAAAGAGGCGCCGGAAAAGGACGACGAAGAAGATGGTCGGCTGAATCGAAGTGAGGGCGTGCCTTCCTCCAAGGGCTGCGCTTCGTAGTCCACTCGCGAGGACGACAGTAGAGACGTCGTCGTCGTTGAATAACACGCGTACGCTCAATAACCTCCATCAGAAGCAGAGAGCCCGTGAGAGTCGTCTTATGGACAGTTTGTTGTAGCTCGTGGTGTCACCGATCAGATCGCGAGGCGTGACTTTCGTGCCCCAGCGACCGTTGGTGTGTTTCGGAGTGTCGAGGCTGTGGAGTCGTAATAATTTGCAATGGTGATAGACCCGTAGCGAATACAATAAGACTGCAGACTCTGCGCCGTCGTCTAACTTGTGGCCACATGACGAGCAGTGCTCCTGGCGACACGTGCCAAAAGTAAGGAACGACTGGTTTTATGCGCGTTGTATACAGATGCATGATACCAGCCAGTTGTGCTGATGTACGTCTGCCTATCGCGAATATAGGATTCACCACCGATCAATTTTAGAAGCACATTCGGCCGCATTCAAACAAGATGTGTGCCGTGCTTCGGGCATGTCACCCCCCCCCCCCTCCTTCCCACTAAAAAATTGTGTCCTTTAATCGTGATCGGAGGGTGAACATGACGCATTAAAAAGATAGCTGTCTGTACCGGCTCATGTGCCTGGGCGTCAATATCGCGGCAAGAAAACAGGTATGGGCATGGAAACAAGTGTTTGTGACAAGTTTCATTGCCTTTTAATATCGATTTCAGTTTACATAACCCTATTGCATTGCTGAGTAACTCAGGGGACGAATTGCAACTCATGATTACGGAGTTAGACAAGGAGAGCAGAAAGGTGGGTCTTAAAATTAATCTGCAGAAAACGAAAGCAATGTACAACAACCTTGGAAGAGAGCAGCGCCTCGAGATAGGTAATAGTACATTTCAAGTAGTAAAAGACTGTGTCTGCTTAGGGCAGGTAATAACCGCGGAGCCGAACCACGATATTGAAGTAACTAGAAGAATAAGAATGGGGTGGAGCACATTTGGCAAGCACTCTCAAATTATGACAGGTAGATTGCCTCTATCCCTCAAGAGGAAGGTATATAGCAGCTGTATCTTGCCGGTACTTAGCTACGGAGCAGAAACCTGGAGACTTACAAAGAGGGTTCAGCTTAAATTGAGGACGACGCAGCGAGCAATGGAAAGAGAAATGGTAGGGGTAACCTTAAGAGATAAGAAGAGAGCTGAGTGGATTAGGGAACAAACGGGGGTTAAGGATATCATAGTTGAAATCAAGAAGAAGAAATGGACATGGTGCGGGCATGTAGCGCGTAGACAGGATAACCGCTGGGCATTAAGGGTAACCAACTGGATTCCCAGAGGAGGCAAGCGGGTTAGGAGGAGACAGTAGGTTAGGTGGGCAGATGGGATTAAGAAGCTTGCGGGTATAAATTGGCATCAGCAAGCACAGGACCAAGTTAATTGGCGGAACATGGGAGAGACCTTTGTGCTGTAGTGGACGTAGTCAGACTGATGATGATGATGATGATGATGATGATGAACCCATCGATAACCTGTACCTCAAATATTTCATTTATTTATTTACCTTAGAGTCCCCAGAGGAATGTTACATAAGGGGCGTTTCTATAAACAGAAATCATATGGTGATTTTGGGACGTTAAACCCCACAAATCAATCAAATCACTAAATTTGTCCATGGATAAATGCTGTCATTTCTTCGATGAAGGCGGGTGAGGTGGTGATGCAAGCGATGTGGTGGGCAAGGCCGTTCCCGTCTTCGGCTGTGCGACGGAAAAATGATGAAGAGCGAGTGACAGCACGTGCACTTCGACGAGCAACGTTAGAAGAATTAATTATGCGCAGTGAAATGCACATAGGAGGTATAACATAAGTAACTTGATTTTACATGATATTGATACAGCTTTGCAATTCCTTTGCGCGCACGATTATCCGCATTTTCATGAAAAGGGAAAAGAAACTGTGGTACTGCTACGACTTCGTGATCAGAACACATAGGTGTAAGTCACGTGCTTTCAAAGTCTATTATGCCCTTTAGGAACTCATTCGTGAGTTATCAGGCGCGATTTCGTGCTCTAATGGGCACACATATCCAAGCTTTGTGAAAGAAGTCAATCACTGTGCACGGGACTACATGACGGCTTTTATGTTTAGGGTATCTGATTTGTCAAGTGCCCAGATAGGAAGGTGGTTAATGTGGATTTGTTTCCAGTGTTTCAGAATGTATTTGTCTCTCATTTGCTTCACACACAGCCCACAAAATTGATCGAAGTTACTGATAATTGTTCCAGCATTATTCCTCGAGCATATGCACAATTGCCATTCGAAGGACCGTAATGGCACGGTCGTTGGATAAAAAAAATCTTGTTTTTTATCCAGTGGCCGTGGTAATGGTTTGAGGGAAATGTGTTGCCAACGTCGCAACCTACATAATAGCACCAAATGAGAAAGAGAGAGATAAAGCAAGAACTAAAGAAGAAAAGGAATTTATGCTACAGGCTTACATAATTACGTCAAACATTCCTGATGGGACATTTTTAACTTGGACGTGGTGTCGTGACGAATGTTTGATTTTATTTTCTTTGATTTATTTAATCACGTGATAAAACGCATTCTATGCGTGGTCTAGTGTGAAGGAACAAAAATCTGCACGTGACAGCTTGACTGGCCCCTTCACCCAGAACAAAAAAAAAATCTAAGTTACGAAATTACGAAAATATAATAGACAGCGAAAAGCGACCATACCAAAAAGAAAAAACGCACATGTGGCCCATGATAGCAAATAATAAAAATGTGAGTCTCAAATACATACAAGACTATTCATAACAAAGCAATGCATGAAACAAAGTAACCATAACAACAATCATGAAAAACGCAATGAGCACATTCCAATTTAACATATCAGTTTTAGACAATATATACGTAGATTACCAATAATTAATTTACATCTGTTCATCACACTTGGTAGACGCTAATTCAGTGTATCAAGTCCATAATTAGTGCGAGGACGTGGTACATGTCAAGTTTCCGTGTGCCGAGTGACTCGACTGGCAAGATGAGGTTGCAGGGTGGTCAATGTACGTAAAAGGGTACTTGAGGGACCCTAAAGAGAAATAATAGATCGATGTAGAGTGATAAATTCTACTCTGAGAACTATTACGTTGCTACTTTCAAAATCAGGCGCTTGTGAAGAAAGGAGAAAATGAAGTTTAAAGTTTCATTTTTTCCCCGCCACGGTTGTCTAGTGGCTAAGGTACACGGCTGCCGACCCACAGGTCGCGGGATCAAATCCCGGCTGTGGCGGCTGCACTTCCGATGGAGGCGGAAATGTGTTAGGCCCGTGTACTCAGATTTGGGTGCGTGTTGAAGATCCCCAGGTGGTCGAAATTTCTGGAGCCCTCCACTAGGGCGTCTCTCATAATCATATGGTGGTTTTGGGACGTGAAACCCCACAAATCAATCAATTAATCAATCAAAGTTTCATTTTTGAGTTTCACGCCGAAATCTCGTGTGACGTGATAGATTGCAAGTCATTATTGGCGTATTTTGGCGCCATTGGCTCAACTAAATTTCCTCAAACTAATATATGGCCCCCTCAGAGGACAACGTGCTTTATCTTTACTGTCGATTAATAGAAAAAATTATTTTGCTCTTAAGCGTCCCTTTAACGTACTGCTATACTCCCACTTGGCGGCCTTGACGACGTCATGGCGGCACTATCATATCCCGGTTAACCTGCATGCTTCAACGTAAGAAAGACGCCACTAGAAAAATTTTTGCCCCCCCCCCCCCAAATAACCTGCATGATGCAGCGATAACATTAACGTGACATCAAAAACATCGCGTTCCTCCGTGTTTTATACTTCGGCGTGTTTCATGTGTCGCCAGTGTAATCAGTCTATACATTCCCATGCGGTTGGTTGGTAAGAACTCTATTGATAATCCTGCGGTGCTTCCACCAACCTGACCTTACTTCTCCCGCCTGGGGGCGTCGACATAGTGCTAACAATTAAAGTAACGACAAACTATAAAAAAAAACTTGCATCACTCCTTTTTTTTTCTTTGACGTATTCGCAGGTCCCACTAGAGCAACACGGTTCAAGGCGCAAGCACAACACGTTCTCGACAGCGGTGTCTAACCACGTGTAACAAGACTACAGGTGCAGTTCAGAGCTCCGAAATCGAAACCACGCTGCGTGACTGCTGCCGCGGATTGTATCTCCGGACACACTTCGCAGTCGGCTTGCTTTATATTTGCTTTATTCGGGATGAAATCGTTGCAAATGCCTTGGGTGACACGACTAATGGCTGATTAATTGCTTGACTGAGGTCGTGCCACCCGGCGGTACCGCAGGGGTGGCGCCTGTGAGGTTATGGGTGGGCTGAATGGACCCCCCCCCCTCGAATTCCCCCCCCCCCTAAAAAGATCAAGCATGTTCAAAACACAGCGCATGTGTTCTCAGCCTCGGTGGAGGAACTCACTTATATTGCCCCCCCCCCCTCCCACCAGTGAAAAAATCCTGGCGCCTGCTCTGGCACCAAAGCAGAGGAAACACACGAGCAAGCATTATTAGCACATATGCAGTAGTACATATAGTTCTATACGGGTTCCAGGCAAGTACAAAATTGTTAGTGTAGCGCACAAAAATATAAACACAGCTGTCACTATAGAGGAGCGGCAATACAGCATACGCGTACTTACAGTCAACTTCTTACAAAAAGAAACTAAGTCTCGAGCGCATTACGAGTAGTGTGTGCTTATACAATATAAACATAGCACTCATTATAGTGGTGGCGATACTAACAAATCCGTACGCACAATCGAGTTAACGCGGCAGTGAAGCGTCTTAACTATAGGACACGCTTATGCCCTACAGGTGAAATCAGAAAAGGGTTCTTAAACGAAATTGTTACAGAAAGTTGAGTGCTAATTGCGACACATTTGACGGAAATGTGTTTTGGCTTTCGTGCGGAACGTCAAGTGTATATTGCGCTTACAAATATATGTTTCAGCTACGAAATAGCTGGTGTCAAGCGTGCTGCTTAATGACATCACCCGCGATCAACCAATCAATGAGTGACTATTCAAACCCAGAGAAAGCTTTGGGTGGTGTACACGTTCTTGTGATCTACGTTGTTGAATATATTCTGCTCCTGCCTGAAGCTGAATTTATAGTTTATTTATTATTGCTTAACTGAGGGCCTGTAGCGCGTAGACAGGATAACCGCTGGTGTTTAAGGGTAACTAAGTATATTCCCAGAGAAGGCAAGCGGGCTAGGGGGAGACAGAAGGTTAGGTGGGCAGATGAGATTAAGAAGTTTGCGGGTATAAATTGGCAGCAGCAAGCACAGGACCGGGTTAACTGGCGGAACATGAGAGAGGCCTTTGTCCTGCAGTGGACGTAGTCAGGCTGATGATGATGATAATGATGATGAACTGAGACAAAAATAGAATGCAGACCTCTTAAGAAAGTGGGTCGTATAGCTATAGTGTCGAAGAAGACATTTTTAAAAACTTTTGAGAGCTTCTCGGGAAGGTTCGTTTCATTGGCGTAGCCAGGGAGGAGAGTGGTTCAAACCTACTTCACTCCCCTCCACCCCACGAAAATTTTCAGTTATGCTTGTGCTTATACGCACGTCAACATACGAATTAACGCACGCGAAACTATATAACCCTTCTCTTCTACAACCCCACAAAAAATAATTATGGCTACGTCTTGATCCTTCGCGTTGAATTTTCAATGCAGAAATGGTCAGTCGGTTCGTCGTGGGGAAAAAAAAATGAATCTCACGTGCACGCATGCAAATCTAGAAGAAACTGTACGGAAATTTACCAGCACATAAGCCGTGCACATGAAATATGTGCGTGTGTATGTGTTCGTGTGTGCGTGCGTGTGTGTGGGGGGGGGGGGGGGGGATTGTATTGCCCTCGTACTGTTCCGTCGTTAGACGTCTAGCATGCTGCTAAGAGAAAGCCACTGCACGACACAGTCGCGGACTGTGTCCTATCTGTCCTCTTCAGCGACCACATAAACTAATGATATCAATTGTAATGTATGTTCAGCGGGTCTCTGATGGCTATTTTATTTTGACTTGCAGGTCATACATGCGGAGCAAGTCAAGGGACCGCGTTTGCCTGAAGCAATATTCAGCCCAGTCGTGAGACGCTGCAGCCTGCGATCGAGATGGACGGTGAAGCCCGTGCCCTCACACGTGATAGACTCAAAGGCCACGACGAAGTCTGTTAACACCGTATCTTACAAAAGATGGTGGCTACTTCAAATACGCGAATGCTACCATACTGCAGAGTAACATCTCTAGTACACGTGTAAAGGAATAGCAGGCAGAACACCAGTTTTAATATAGTTCTGCTCTCGGAATTAGCAAGTTACCATAGCATGGAAGGAAGTTTATAATCTGCCAAATTTATCTTTAACTTTTCGCACAACTTTTCTTACGTCTATATGCTCCCAAATGAAGTGAATGTTGTTTTCTTTTGTGTGCTCTTAATATAGCGTAGGAAGACGTGCTCTCACATGTGCCAACTCACTTAAAAGTGCAGTCGTGGCAAACAAGTACGGGATGTATAAAGCGAGTGATATTGATTGTTTTAATCGAGGTATGTGCGACCGAATGCGATATCCGGTGTGACGTGCTGTGGGTATAAAAGATGGTTGGCTTTGTGCTGATGGATCCAACCAGCGCGATTAAAATTAATAAACCACAACGGAACCTGTTAGAAAACCTGTGGGTATGCGATTGCCCTTTCGTAGGTTGAATTACTTACTCTCTAACAGGAGCTGCCTAAATTATGACGTCACGGCGGGCATGTACGAAAACTTCAGACAGCATCAGCCGCAAATGATTGATGTACCGGAACTTTCAGGAGCATAGGGTTCTCTATAGCTTAGTTGCCTTTTTTTATTTTTCAAATTAGGCTGATCGTGTGTAGTAAAAATCTCTTCCGCAAATATTGCTCAAGCGTAAGTCGACGCAGCTGGATGAATGTGCACTACATCTGTAACGGGCTTGCTCTGACCCGGAAACGCCAACTATTAACTACGTAAAACTGCCACATAACGTTTCTCTTGAGCAATATCAAACTCAACGGTTCCTGGCAACATAGCTGTACCTCGTTTTCGGCAGTGCGTTATGCCAACTTCATAACGAATGCCCTATTGCTCAGAAGAAAAAAAAACAGTATTATACCGACATATATGCTCTGCTCGACGTTCTGGTTTACGCGCTGACCAATGAGGGCAATTTAATCTCACCGATACCCGTACCTCAACATTTGAAACACACTTTAGGTTTCCGTCGTTCGTGTGGATTCACTGTACGTTTCCATTTCTCACTGAAGATATGTGGCACATAAAATATTGCTACAATACTTCAGGTGTACGTTAATATTCAGGTTATACAACTACTACGTAAACCTCAACGACGCGTGCTTATAGCAGGTGGCGGGACATATCTATAATGATGGGAAGCTCAAAATGTGCTAAGATAATCTTATAGCACATGTTCGTGTAGTGTATGTGCACTTGCTGCAAACGGACGACAGTCTGGCGCGCGAGAAAGTAACTTGATAACTAAGCATCAAAGTTAAGCCAATGTGCCGTGATACGTGTAGATGTACTTGTTTACAGATGGCTTAACATGACTCACCGCTCCAGTTCAATGTGTAGGGAACTAAAACTAATTGCTCAGCACGGGAGGACAAGTTATTGGAAGGTAATTAGGGGGCCACTGTGGCTTGCCGAATCCAGTAAGACCGAGTAGCTCAGTACAAACGCGAATGCCGATTAATATTCGCAGGCTCAATTAAGTAAGAGTATTGTATCTCAATAATAAAGAGAAATCTTTTTTACTCTGTTAAAGGTAACTAAATGGTACAAATGTACGCAGCGAAGTTGTAGCAATCACCGCATGATTCTTCTTTTTTTTAACATTCAACAGTGAAACTGACAACATCATAACTTCGGGAACTCAGTTCCTGGAGACAGTTTCTATACATTCGAGCACTTCAATGCTGACGGTGAAGATGACGTGTGTTCTAGTACAAGTCAACATTCGAGCACGCACAAGAGAATGGCAAATGCAAGTTCTAGTTTCAAACCATCAACGTTACAGCTGCTAAATAGGTCAAGTGGGAAATTGTGAGAAGCTCTTGCGTAGATGGTTTCTTGTCCAGCTAAGCAATGCGATGGACACTTTGAGACTTGCGTTTACTTCACGTTGTCCATGCAGGCAATCTTGCTATCTCTTGTCTAGCGACTGCGCTCAATACCAGTATACGAGGGAATCGTTCCGGTTAGCCCAAATCGCCACTCTTCCGATTCGTATACGTAAGGCTAGAAGAGAACATACAATTCCGTCGGTAAAAAATAGATCCGCATGTATGTGGTGTCGTGAACATGAGTGTGGGTGGCCGGTTTCATCAATAAGACATCTTTCACTAATTCGTAGTTTTTTTTTTTCTTCCTTGTTCGAGAAGCGTTGTCGCATAAACGTGTGCTGCAGTTCAGATGCCTCTGAAAGGCATATATTTCGGGCTGTTATAGCGGACTGTGACCTGAATCAAGCACAACCTTTAACATCGCGAATGCCCGAAGGTGTCTGGCGGGGCTTTTTATGTCGTCCGATATGAGTCAGAGCGGCTATAGGTCTCGGAGGCCGTGTTATATTCCACATAATGTCACGTAAAGCACTACAATGACAGCCACGTACCATAGGCGTGCGTACGATTTTTCATTGAAGGAGGCCCAGTTTTACCACATTTGACCCCCCTCTCCCCGTTTGTTTATTCCAAAAGAAAAAGAGTTACACAATGAGAGAAAAATAAAAGTGAAACGATAACGTGCTTCTCAGAAAGGTCAGCTGCCATTTATCCTCTACATTACGGGTCAAATGTCATATACAGGGTGAAAAGTTATTTGAAACCAACATCAAGGGCCCTTGTTCGCCGTTATTGTCAAAACTTATGCGTTCCAAACGACGTGAAAGGTGTGGCGGAGATATTGTTTGGCGCCCCCTAATAGATAATTTCGGAATAGCACCCCCTTGGTACAAGAATTGGCGTCCCCCTTTTGAATAAATGTGGTGGGTGGATGGGGGGCGGGGGGTCGTCTATGACCCCGTCATGCGCCCGACTATGGTCATAGAAAAGGTTACTTTATCCAGCGCAAAAAAAAAAACGTTCGCAAAACACCGCATGAAGGTTCACTTAAATCTACTGAATCGCGGCGCATCGTCGTTTGACAGCGTGGCTAAATATCTGCGTTGCACTGGCAATACATGTTCCATCATTCTAGATTCGGCCACGCTCTGTACATTTGCCGTACATGAGTACGCGCGCTCGGAAGCATTTTGATTAGCATGGGAGTACGCACGACATGCGGCCCCACACACCATTCGTTTGGAACCGCAGGGTGTGTTTTGTGTTTTGCGCTCTAAAATCAAGTACTAAACAATGTTCACGGTACTCTTGTATAGCGTACCTCGTGGAGACGTATAGTAGTAATAATGTTACTAGTAGCTTGGCAGGCGTTGTGTATAACCTGTAATCGTGCCGCACGCCTGGGGCGGCGCGATTCCTTTGTCTTCTCGCACCGGTGATTGGAGTTTCTATGCAGATGCTATCGTATGTCAGGGTGCTGTTTCTTCTCTTTTGTAGATGGCGCTGCCGCCGTGTTTGTACCGGCATGCGGCTGTACTGAAAAAAAATATATATAATTGTGTACCTGTAGATTTCACAATCAGTGCCGAATAAAGGACACTTTTTAGAATTTTCATGTGCTCTGTGGTTTGTTTTATTCAGCGTAGTAACGGTGATGATGTTATATTTATATATTATAGAAGGGTATCTCGGTATGCCAGTTTGTAATGCACTGGTCAAAAGTTGCCAGGCCACTGTCCCATGGATTCCTATGTCAGCGTGGCCTAGAAACATTAAGTTTATCCCCCCCCCCCCTCCTGTACATGTTGTAGGGGGACCAAAACAGCGCGAAAACGGAACAGAGGGTGAGAGAATCGAACCCAATATTCTAATTCAAACAACGTGATATTCTATATTGAAAGATACAAATTTTTTCCTTGTCCTGTCAGAATGTTAACACTCTAATAAGCCTCCGGCTTTTTAGCCAATCCCCCGTAGTGGGTAGGCGTCAATGCTGACAAGCAAGCAACATCGACTCGCATGGCTCGAATCTTGCTGCACGGTCTGGCGGTCTGTCTTCTCATTTTGCCGGCGATGTGCGCTGTCCGGCGTTCGCCATCTCGGCGTGTCGCGTTGGTCAACCTCGAAGACCACGCGTCGTCGCGTCGACTCGAAGGCGTCGCCGAGTCGCCTCCGTGTGCGCACCGTGGACGGCGGGACAAGTTCTGCGCCGGCGACCGCCTGCAACTCGATGACGCCGTCAACTCGAGCTGCCACCACGAAGTCACGGAGCTCCTGCCGCCGCCTCTCTTCAACTGTACCGCCGCGGTCTGTACGAAGGTATTTAGACAGCAGTAGAAGTGATTGATTGATTCATTCATTCATTCAGCAATTGATTGATTGATTGATTGATTGAACAGCGGCCATGAATAGAGTCCTAATTTATAGGCACTAAAAAGATATTTGAAGGTATTTCGACAACAGTATAAATGATTGATTGATTGATTGATTGATTGATTGATTGATTGATTCGTTTATTCATTCACCAATGTATTGATTTTTTGAGCAACAGCCATGAATAGAGTCCTGATTTATAGGCACTAAAAAGTGTATTCTAGGTGCCATAAATAGGCAGTCAAAGCAACGTTTTCGTCATGAAACATCGCAAATGTAGACAATATTTTTTCACCTGACTGCAAATAACTTCAAACCAATACGTGCGCGACGGGTATCTATGATGGTAAAACAACGACTAAAAATTTATTTATGATGACCTAAAGCGCCAGCTGTCCAATACAGTCATGCTCATACGACAGTGTCTCCGTCTATTTTACGGTGGTGGTTCTTGCTGGGAAGATCATCGGTCCTGCAGACCCATTCACAGTGAGGCATCAGTATATAGAGGGGGCTGCGCTCGCTTATGTCTCAAACTACAAGAGCAGGGAATGCTGCTTGAGCGTGGAGGTGAGAGCTGTGGTTTTGACCGCATTTTCGCAATTATCAATGGAACCTGTGGACAAGTTATGTATTATGAGAGAGTTGGAGCTCTCGCTGGAGCTGTATTTTTTTTTTTGTAGGTACGCAAGGTAGGACATAATTGACAAAATTAGGCACGGGGTCGGTCTCCTGCAGCACTCTAAAAACAAACAAACAAAAAGAGCCTTTTTTTTAGAGTTCTTGCTTGCCACGTGCATTACTCCTTTTAAAGAGACGCGTCAACTCTCTTCAGGGGTCTTAATACCCTCATGTGAGAGTCGTCGGACCCAGTCAGGCTAAAAGATGAGCAGGCGGGCCTGCAAGGTATTACAATATGCGTGTTGTCTAGGTGGTAGTTTGCTATCGCGATGGTCTCAGCTGTTGACGAACATCGCGATAGCCCAAGACGAACTGTCATAGCCCGAACGCTCTCGAATGTGCGCATACTGGTTGTGCAGGTATTGGTCAGCACAAGCAAGCTGTATCTCTAATAATGCCTTAAAGGGAAAAAAAAGCGTCCTGCATGTACAGCATTCGTGGTATGTACTGGTGTCCCCGAGGTTTTGCTCCGAAATATTTGATCCAACTAACAGTCCGTCAGGAGCTTAAAAGGCGGTCTCGAAGTCTAAGCCCATTTTGAGCAGGCTAATTTTGGAGTGGCACTGGAAAAATTGTCGTTTTAGTTATATAATTTTTATGTGCCCCTTACCTAGTCCTTATTATATATGTTTAGCCGTGAAACCCTGTTCTATTACTAATGGTCTTATCAGTTCGTAAACCAATTTTTTTAATTTGATTTGTTTGATTTGTCTCTTCTGTTTGGGCTTGTTATGACCTGCAGTACTGTGCAGTAAATAAATAAACGAAGGGGAGGGTGCTGCTCAGTATTGTTCTCTCACCATAATGTAACACCACGTCATACACTACTTTTGTAAGGTTGCCTCTGTAAAGTGCTCTGTTTTGGTGAAGGTTTTGTCACTGTGAAACCTCGATCGTCGGTGTCTCTATTGGTGTGCTCCGATCGTCAATTATAAACATATCTCGAAGTTTAACTTCGACATCAAGAGGCAAACTCATTGGTGTCACGCGGCTGTCCTTCTTGAACTGCCGCAGGGACAGTGGCAGCACTGCGACGCAGAGTTCATTGACGACGGCATCAGGCTGACCAGGGACGAGTGGTGCCTGAACGGACCCAAGAGGCTGGTGGCCGAAGGATTCCTCTCGCCGCGAGACTGCAGCCAGATTACTAGGAACGTCGTATGTTCTGTTTTTCTTTTAAAAAAAGAAAGGAGGGAGCATGACGTCATGCAGCCTGCCTTGGCAATCTCTCTGGCGCGTTGCTTTTATTTCTTCAGATTGCGAGAGTGGCGCCCCCTGTAACGCGCCGCGACCTTGCTTCGACGGGGAGAAGAGGAAGGGGCGCAAATCAAAATAATCCTGTACTTTTCCGAAGGTATAGAGAGGGGCTTTAGTCAAACGCGTGATTGCCAAGGGAATCGTTAAAGTCGCTCGTGCTACTCACACCCTCAGCTTTCTCGGTAGCGGAGCTGCAGGAGTGTAGCCGGAATTTTTTTATTATTATTATTGAGAGCGGGGGGGGGGGGGGGAGTGCAATCATACTTTGCGTATGTCCGTGCGTGCGTTCGTAAGTGCACTTGTATATACACGTACGCAAAATTGAAAATTTTCGGAAAAGTTTTGCAGTCCCCCCCCCCCCCCCTCTCCTCCCTGGCTATACGCATTCGGAGCTGTATTAAGCGCGAGATCTAGGACTAACCGACCAAGACCTGCACAAGAACTACATTAGTGCTACATCGATAGCAAAATTAGTGCTGTACTAGAGCAGAATTTTTTTTTTTTGTCACCGTGTCACCGCTTTCAAGGATGCGCCTAACACCAATAAACAGGTGCACGCATGCTCACAAATCGCCGCGCGCAAAACATGAACCGCTCTCCCGCGTCAAGTGCATGCGACTTGATGCACAATCGCCTCAGGTCCGAAGGTTTTGATTTACAAGTGCCTTATGGCGTTTTCCGCGTTACTCGTTCCTAATTAGCCACTCTGACCTGCAAGCTTTTTGGTGCGCTAAAGAAAGCAGGTACCCTAAAGTTTGATTGTTGGTCCCTTTGTCATGCTGCTTACAGGAATAAAACGACGGAAAGGTGACCTGTTAGATAAGGATTCATAGTAAAAATCAGAAAAAAAAGGTTGATCCCTCTGTTATATGAATCTGTGTAGTAGAAAAGTAGACATGCCTTCACAGGAGTATAGTTGACTGTTTATTGTGTATCGATGTAAGCGAGCTTGCAGAGTGTTTATTGGATTTGAACACATGTAGCTCCTGTTGACGTAGATTCACCCACGTGTACGCTGTTTGAGTGGCCCATCTCCATCCCGATGACTAACGTCAACAACAACAACAACAACAATAATAATAATAATTGTTTTTATTTTCACACGTACATAGTTGATGGAAGGGGTGAGAATATACTATGTTCTCAACCCCCTATATACGTAAGGCAGTGGCAGTGGCAGCAACAGAAGACAACAGCTGACAAAAGTACTCAACTATAACAAAATTAAAAATTGTACAGCTTTCAAACACACTGCAGACTGCATAATTGTAACTTAACCTTTGTGGTAGTGGAAGTAGCTTCGATGGAGGTGAAATGGTAAAAGCCCGTTGTCTCTGCGAAGTCAGTGCACGTTAAAGAACACCAAATGGTCCAAAATTTTTGGAGCCCTCCGCTACGGCGTCCCTCGCAATCATATTGTAGTTTTGTGACGTAAAACTGCACATACCTTATTTACACGATTGGAAGTCGACTCGAATGTAGGTCGATCCCCGAGAATGGCACTGCATAAAAAAATAGAGGGGCACGAGCACGTTTTGTTATAAAAAAATAATAATAACACAACGTAAAGCCACCGATGTGCGAAGGTGGCTTTGCGGCAGTACTTAAAAGCTATGCAAAAAAGCTAGCTTTGCGAAAACACTGGGACATCATTTTTAGAAAGACTTCACAACCGAAACTCGTTCTCGATTCTAGGTCGACCACCCCAACTCCTGATTCCAAAGCAAGACAAAATTGGTTGACCAAAATCGCGTAAATACGGTTTTACTTGAGGAAGTAGTTAACAAAAATCCTGACTGACTCAGCATATGCTGAATCCCGCGCAGAGATGGCATCACAAGCACGTAGCACTGGTACTCAATAGTCGACCAACCCAACTTCTGATTTCAAAGCAAGACTAAATTGGTTGACCTACAATCGCGTAAATATGGTACTACTTGAGGAAGTAGTTAACAAACATCCTGACGCAGCATAGGCTGAATCCCGCGCAGAGATGACATCACAAACACGCAGCAGTGGTACTCCTTATAAAGTCATTCAAAGCGCCGTCATTTCAAGAGAAAAACAGCAACGAGTGTGTTCTACGCCTTTTCCCATGCGTATACCACACAGCGCTTCAGAGTCATAGTTCGTGGCTCAGCCATGAACGCGGGAAGGCGGCGCTCCCCGTTGGTGTGTTCTCTCTGGATCGCGTCTGCGTGATAGTAGCGCTCGGCTGCTTACCCGAATAGACCCGAATGTCGTTGCTTCCTTGCCGGCCGCTGCGTTCTATGACGGCGAAATGCTACAGGCGCGTGGTGCATG